AATTTTGGTCACCAATGTATAGAAAGGATATTACACTAGATCATTGATTCTCTGAATTCTTTATAATGTGAAATCACATTGGTATGCCAGTCTTGGAGCTTCTAAGATGCAAGCTGAACTTTATTTTAATAAATTTGGGGCATCCAGATCCTGATTAGCTATTTGCAATGTTTCAGACATATTTTGAAAATGTATGAAAAAGTCATTTATGGTGCACGCTAATAGATATGGCTGCTCCCTGTATTTCTACTAGTTCTCCTCCTCACTGCATATTGATATGATGATATTTTGCCCCAGGTACTGATTATCACCACAAATGAGGAGGGGCTGCATATGTAGTATTTGATGTTCACAATCATTACCTCCTCCCGTCTGCATTTTGAAAATAAACAAAACACTGAAAAGGACTGAGGAGTTTGTCTCTCCTGTTTTTCCCTTCCCCCAAGCTGTAAAAATAGCAAAATTTTGTACAATGCTATTTACCATTGCCACCTTACAATCAAATGGTGCCTTTTGAAAATATAAGGGTTGCAAATGTATGTAATAATCTGCCAACCTCACAACTAGTGAAATTCTGTTCTGAAATCCAATGCTATATTTAAGATGTTCTAATTTTCAAGGAGAAAATCTGTGTTCCCAGAAGGAAGGATTCTGGCTACAATGTGGTCTGAGATAATCTAGGCTTAAAAATACAGACAGCCTTAAGGAATGTTTCACTAAAGAGAAAAAGACCTCAGCCCTGGCCTGAAGGGGTTACCTTTTCTAAGAAGGTAGGATCATACAGTTGAGATGATACAGCTAACCAGCAAAAATTATGTGCAGCAGTTCTGTCGTACAGATGACTGTCCATTAGGATCCGAGTTGAGACCATCAGCTTCAATACACTAATGACCTTAAAATCAGATTTAAATATTGAGCCAAATGACAAAAAGAAAAAAAAACAATCCAAAAATCTAAACACCTCCTCACCCCAGAGTTCTAGTCCATAATCCAAGTACTGGACTTGATTATTGCTAGTCATGGGGCCTGTTTACTAATAATACATATTACTTCAAGTTGTGTTATTTATAAAATGAACAGACCGATTTTAAAAGAAATAGATACCAGCCTTTACATTACAGAGGATAACAAGAAAGAAAGAAAGAACAGTAGGCAGGTAACTGGTCCATTTTAAAAAGAGATTATTTGGTTTTTTTGAGTTTGTTTTTTTAATAAATAAAAATTTGGACATGAAGCACCTACCAATACTACTTGCAGACTCTATTCAGTATATTCAAGAGGAATTAATTTAAGCATCACTATCTGAGTCTGAATATACAGCACAGCAAAATACCTATTTGCCTTGCCGCACATGTTGCTTATAAACTCTCTTCTTTACAGTCAATCTTACCCGATCTCTAAAGTGGAGTTATAACGTTCATTTATCTTTTCTTGGGGAAAATTTTTGTTAATGCAGCCTTTGAATAAGTGCTACCCTGCTCTTTAAATGCTAAAGTTCACTAAAACTCCAGTGATTTATGTGCAGCTTTTGACTGCCAGCACCTGGCAGATGAAGAAACCTACTCAAGCTTCAGTCATAAACAGATAGCATACAATTTAATTTTAATGTGCTCGTTAGTCGTAGCACATTTCAGACATAATTGTGAATGCAACACAAAATTATAGCAAAAAGACAATTTTAATGCTGCTGTAGAAAAAAAGGTTATATGAAGAGTCATATAATGGTGCTTCATTGTCAACAACAAAACAGGGCACAGAGTGCATTACAGTGTCTGTGCTGTTTACATGCCAATATTTTATACATAGATTCTCATATGGTGTCAGCTGTCAGTTACTTCTGCAAATTAACTGCCAAAAATGGAGACGAACAGAATCACTTAGTGTGCTGGTAACCACGGGTTACCTTTCATATGCCTAAAGATAAAGCTGCAGTATGGAATCTTGGGAGAATAATTAGGCAGAACAAAACAGAAAGTTACCAATTGAAATAAAAAGGCATTCTACAATATGAAATAACAACCAATAGCGCTTATAAATAAGTAAAAGGTTATATCACAGAATGCCTCATAACTTTTAAGCAAAATATTACAGTACAAACATTTTAAAGGCTTTATCAATGTTTAGGAAATACAGTACAAGTTTTTCAAATAGATTTAACCCTTTGAGCACTGAGTTTATTTTGAATTCTCTCATTTTTTATTTTATTTAAATTTTCTTTTACTAATAAATACCTTTAAAAGTCATGTTGTGCAAAATAGTTCTAATGCATGCCAAGGATGCAGTCCGTGGCTTCTGTTATTCAGATGGTTTAAAAACAAATGATAACGATACTAATAAATATGTATAATTTAAACATGAACCTCTATCAATATAGATGTACTGTATAGCAAAACAAAACAATCATACTTTGCTTTAAGAATAATGTTTTTGAATACTTTATAAATGCTATGTGTGGTACCTTTCATATAATTTACCGTATATCCGCCTTGGCCGTACAGCAGAGTTGAGACCATCAGCTTCAATACACTAATGACCTTAAAATCAGATTTAAATATTGAGCCAAATGACAAAAAGAAAAAAAACAATCCAAAAATCTAAACACCTCCTCACCCCAGAGTTCTAGTCCATAATCCAAGTACTGGACTTGATTATTGCTAGTCATGGGGCC